CCATTTGAAACTAGTTTAAGTATTGTATACAAGGTAAAAGGAGAGGTAAAGGTAAGAGGAGAAGTAAAAGCAGAGCACAGGAAATTCCATACAATAAGGAGGGGCTGGTTTGACTACGCCCATAACTCCACCTTAAAAGATGGAGGACAACAGAAATGGTGTGATTCACTTAATTCTTCGTCTTCTGAGAGAAGAGATTCATCAGATCATTCCTCTCCTCCTCCTGCTATTCTGAGGTGGATGTATCTTTGTATGGAGATAATCTTTTATTGTTGTAAGTGATATTTACTCATTATTATGCATAAAGAGAAAATGTAAACATTATTAATTAAATTAATGTCTACTTATTAAACTATAAATTTTACATACTTGTACATGTGTAGGTACAGTATATTCATTGTGTATTGTATAATGTGTGTACATTATTAGATATTCATGTACATGTACATGTAGGTTGGGAGTCTCACTTACTTGAAATGGGTTCCTTCCAATGTTCTTATCTCCAGTTTTGAGTTATAGCCAGTTTCCACGTCACACGCCCACAAGCTGGACCAATGTCTGGGGAAATCGCTGGATGATATTCCTCATTATGATTGGATCTGTAAGTGAGAGAAAGGATGTGATTGAATATTGGAACCTTCTTTAGGGTTTGATAAAGATGAGAGGTGATAGCTGTTGGAGGGACTTGACTTGTATGAACTATCATTATGAGGTTTGTACATTGTATATTGTATAGTGTATGATGCTTTAATGTGGTGGAGTTTCAGTTTGACATTTTGTGATCTGAGATTGATTTATAATCAGCATAAGTTGCAGTTTAGATGTCATTGTTAGTGCTGTGTGGGCATCCATGCTTTTTAAGAATATGGTTCCGAAATCACCCAAAATTTTTATTACATTTTTTGATACATATTGATGTCATAATGCTACATTTAAAGTTTGAGGTGATTCCGACTAAAATTTTTAAGTTATGGCCATTTTAAGAAATCTGTTGATTTTTGAAAATTTCCCTGTACTATTATTGTCCATGGTTTTTTTCTAAAAAATGACCCCAAAATTGCTCCAAATTTTTATGACATTTTTTGATGCATATTGATGTCCTAATGCTGTGTAGAAAGTTTGAGGTGATTCTGACTGAAAATTTTTGATTTATGGCCATTAAAAAATCGGCCCATTTTCAAAAATTAGCCTGTACTATAGCCCATGGTTTTTTCCAAAAAATGGCTCCAAAATCGCCCCCAATTTTTATCACAATTTCTGATACATATTGATGTCCTTATGCTGTGTGGAAAGTTTGAGGAGATTCCGACTAAAAATTTTCGAGTTATGGCCATTAAAAAAATCGTCCAATTTTCAAAAATTACCCTGTACTATATAGCCCATGGTTTTTTCTTAAAATGGCTCCAAAATAACCCCAAATTTTTATTACATTTTTTGATACATAATATTGATGTCCTTATGCTGTGTAGAAAGTTTGAAGTGATTCCGCCTAAAAATTTTTGAGTTATGGCCATTTTTAAAAATCAGCCAATTTTTGATATTTACCCATGGTTTCTTCCAAAAATTGGTTCCGAAATCACCCCCAATTTTTATTACAAACATCTTCCAATTTCCAATTGGAATTTCTAATTAGTCAAATTTCTTGAAAAAATGCCAATTTTACAAACTTTCTGCAGAAAATTTACAAAAAATGTGTTAAAAATGACTCTAATTGTGCAGAAACAGATTAAAAACTGTCAAAAGTGTTGTGTGTTTGTTGTGTGTCATACATATATACATGTACATGTATACTGGTACTGTATAGTGGATACTGTAAATGTTTGATAGCCCTGTGTCTTTATGCATTTATTCAAATTCGGCTTAACTGATAAAGCATTTGTGATAATTTTTGAGGTACCTAATGCATGGTAACTTGTATAGATAAATTATTGTTTAAATTATATGTACTTGTGTACATATACTTATATAATCTGATTATTGTATGCATGTATACTAAGTGTCATAATAAACCACATATACCACACTAAAGGAATTATAGCAACACCACAATACAATAATAATAATTTAATAGCTCGAAATTTAGCTAAATTTAGTGAGTTTAATGTATTTTGCCAAGGGAGTTGTCTATTAAAATATGGCAGTAGCTTTTAGTCATTTACT